TGCGCCACGTCCTCCATTTATGCCAAATCCTAATAACGGCTTCTTACCTAGATTTTTGGGTAACTTTGGCGGCTTACCACCTCCACCACCGCACGCAGCCGCTGCATTAATGCCACCCGAATTAACAGCCTTAAATACTCTAATAGGCACTCCGCCGCCAGTAACAATTATGGTACCTTATCCGGTAATAATACCTCTGCCCATACCCATACCAGTACCCCTGCCCATAGTGGATTTCTATAAAGCCCACTTAACACCCGAAGAACGCAAGAAATACGAAGAAGAACAGCAACAAATGAAACAGGAAAAGGAAACTACTAACAGTGAACCACCGTTAACTAACCGAGACACTGAAGAACCTTTAGACTTTACCAAAACCAAGGAATTGGAACAAGAAAGTGTCAGACTTAAAGACACAGACTCCCCCAAAACTTTACCAGAAGTTGACGACACCAAAGAGGTGGAACAAACTTCTGAAGAAACAAAAAACACAAACACTGAAGTTGCAACCTCCCGTACAAGACACTTACAATGTGTACTCAGCAGCGAAGAAGCGCCACAAACTAACACAGACAACCGAACCAGCACAACCAAATTAAAAAGTGATTTTGTAGCCAGTAATCAAGATACAAATGAAGACTCCAGTGAATTACAAGGTGGCAGCAGCAGTAACATTACAGCGTCTGGGGGAGGAGGAGGAGGAGAAACAAATCAAAAATTACCTAAACTTAAAATAACACGACTACAAACCAAACGTACTCTTATACAAACCAAAGAATCCGAATGCTCAAGGCCTTTGCGCAAGCGTAAACGTATAATCGATTGTGATTTTCAAAAGTTAAACAGCACGACAACCAGCAATAAGGAAGTAAACGAGCCACCGCCACCACACGAAGAAGAATTAAACACAACGACTGAAAACGAAACGCCAACCCACAAAGGTCAAACTAATAATTCGAATAATAATAATAAAAAATAAACTTATTTTTAGCTTTAAGTCCCCCAAACCCCAAACCCAAACATTATAAATAATATTAAAAAGCACTTAAAGCGCTTGGAAAAACTCTATACAAAAGAAAGAAAATAAAAACAAAGCATATAACTTTGAAAATTATAGTATTACATTTTAAGGTTATGTTTTCTTAATAAAAAAAATCAAATTTTTGTACTTAATTTCATTATAAATTTCTTTTATAATTTTTAATTTTATATTAAAGTGTGCAATTTGTTTTAAGTATATAACTATTATTTTTAATTAATTAATTTTTAATAGTCTATAGAAATTTTTTTACATATATTTTTTTATTTATAAATATGTATTTTATATTTATTTTTTACAACTCCTTTTTATTTCCTTCCTTTTTTGATACTAACAAAAATTATGTTAATTTATTTAAAAATAAAATTATTTAAAATTGTTAATTGGTTAAATACAATAAATTAAAAACGATTAAAAAATATAAAAAAATAAAACAGTAGTTTTTTGTTCAGTTAAATTTTTTTCAGATACATTCCGAAGAGAATATTGGTTATAACATGACCGATTTTCTAGTCTATAGTTTATTGTACAATCCAGTCTAGTATATAATCTAGTCTTAAATCTAATCTGAAGTCTAATCAATAGTCTGGTCTATAGTCTCTTCTATAAAAGAGTCTAACATCAAATCAATAGTGTGATCTATAGTTTATTCTAAAGCATAGTCTAGAGTTAATCTATAGCCTAGCTATAATCTACACTATAGTTTAGTCCATAACTTAGTACAGTCGATAGTTTAGTCTGTAGTCTAGTCTACAGTACTGTCTATAGTACTGTCTATAGTCTAGTCTACTGTCTAGTCTGTAGTCAAGAGTATAGTTTAGTCTGAAGTCTAGTCTATAGTCTTGTCTATAGTCTAGTCTATAGTCTTGTCTATAGTCTAGTCTATAGTCTAGTCTATAGTCTAGTCTATAGTCGAATGTATAGTCTAGTCTGTAGTCTAGTCTATAGTCTAGTCTATAGTCTAGTCTATAGTCTAGTCTATAGTCTAGTCTATAGTCTAGTCTATAGTCTAGTCTATAGTCTAGTCTATAGTCTAGGCTATAGTCTAGTCTATAGTCTAGTCTATAGTCTAGTCTATAGTCTAGTCTATAGTCTAGTCTATAGTCTAGTCTATAGTCTAGTCTATAGTCTAGTCTATAGTCTAGTCTATAGTCGAATGTATAGTCTAGTCTATAGTCTAGTCTATAGTCTAGTCCTAGTCTATAGTCTAGTCTATAGTCTAGTCTATAGTCTAGTCTATAGTCTAGTCTATAGTCTAGTCTATAGTCTAGTCTATAGTCTAGTCTATAGTCTAGTCTATAGTCTAGTCTATAGTCTAGTCTATAGTCTAGTCTATAGTCTAGTCTATAGTCTAGTCTATAGTCTAGTCTATAGTCTAGTCTATAGTCTAGTCTATAGTCTAGTCTATAGTCTAGTCTAGTCTAGTCTAGTCTATAGTCTAGTCTATAGTCTAGTCTATAGTCTAGTCTATAGTCTAGTCTATAGTCTAGTCTATAGTCTAGTCTATAGTCTAGTCTATAGTCTAGTCTATAGTCTAGTCTATAGTCTAGTCTATAGTCTAGTCTATAGTCTAGTCTATAGTCTAGTCTATAGTCTAGTCTATAGTCTAGTCTATAGTCTAGTCTATAGTCTAGTCTATAGTCTAGTCTATAGTCTAGTCTATAGTCTAGTCTATAGTCTAGTCTATAGTCTAGTCTATAGTCTAGTCTATAGTCTAGTCTATAGTCTAGTCTATAGTCTAGTCTATAGTCTAGTCTATAGTCTAGTCTATAGTCTAGTCTATAGTCTAGTCTATAGTCTAGTCTATAGTCTAGTCTATAGTCTAGTCTATAGTCTAGTCTATAGTCTAGTCTATAGTCTAGTCTATAGTCTAGTCTATAGTCTAGTCTATAGTCTAGTCTATAGTCTAGTCTATAGTCTAGTCTATAGTCTAGTCAATAGTCTAGTCTATAGTCTAGTCTATAGTCTAGTCTATAGTCTAGTCTATAGTCTAGTCTATAGTCTAGTCTATAGTCTAGTCTATAGTCTAGTCTATAGTCTAGTCTATAGTCTAGTCTATAGTCTAGTCTATAGTCTAGTCTATAGTCTAGTCTATAGTCTAGTCTATAGTCTAGTCTATAGTCTAGTCTATAGTCTAGTCTATAGTCTAGTCTATAGTCTAGTCTATAGTCTAGTCTATAGTCTAGTCTATAGTCTAGTCTATAGTCTAGTAGTCTAGTCTATAGTCTAGTCTATAGTCTAGTCTATAGTCTAGTCTATAGTCTAGTCTATAGTCTAGTCTATAGTCTAGTCTATAGTCTAGTCTATAGTCTAGTCTATAGTCTAGTCTATAGTCTAGTCTATAGTCTAGTCTATAGTCTAGTCTATAGTCTAGTCTATAGTCTAGTCTATAGTCTAGTCTATAGTCTAGTCTATAGTCTAGTCTATAGTCTAGTCTATAGTCTAGTCTATAGTCTAGTCTATAGTCTAGTCTATAGTCTAGTCTATAGTCTAGTCTATAGTCTAGTCTATAGTCTAGTCTATAGTCTAGTCTAGTCTAGTCTATAGTCTAGTCTATAGTCTAGTCTATAGTCTAGTCTATAGTCTAGTCTATAGTCTAGTCTATAGTCTAGTCTATAGTCTAGTCTATAGTCTAGTCTATAGTCTAGTCTATAGTCTAGTCTATAGTCTAGTCTATAGTCTAGTCTATAGTCTAGTCTATAGTCTAGTCTATAGTCTAGTCTATAGTCTAGTCTATAGTCTAGTCCATAGTCTAGTCTATAGTCTAGTCTATAGTCTAGTCTATAGTCTTGTCTATAGTCTTGTCTATAGTCTAGTCTATAGTCTAGTCTATAGTCTAGTCTGTAGTCTAGTCTATAGTCTAGTCTATAGTCTAGTCTATAGTCTAGTCTATAGTCTAGTCTATAGTCTAGTCTATAGTCTAGTCTATAGTCTAGTCTGTAGTCGAATGTAAAGTCTAGTCTGTAGTCTAGTTTATAGTCTAGTCTAGAGTCCAGTCTATAGTTGAATCTATAGTCTAGTCTGCTATTTAGTCTGGTATATAGTCTAGTCTTAAGTCTAATCTAAAATCTAGTCCATAGTCTGGTCTATAGTCACTTCTATAAAATAGTTTAAAATCAAATCAATAGTCTATAGTATAGTCTGTAGTCTAGTGTAGTCTTTAGTATAGTCTGTAGTCTAGTCTGTAGTTTAGTCTATAGACTAGTCTATAGTTTAGTCTAGAGTCCAGTCTATAGTTTAGTCTATAGTCTAGTCTATTGTCAAGTCTATATTCTAGTCTATTGTCAAGTCTATAGACTAGTCTATAGTTTCGTCAAGTCATAAGTCCAGGGTGTAGGCTTGTCTCCAGTCTATTTCTTGATCCAGTCTATAGTCTATTCTATGGTCTAGTCTTGTCTATAATCTAGTCGGTTCTATTTGACATAGAACTGAACTAGAACTGAGCCGTAACTGAGCTAGAGTTGAATTATAAATGAATTAGATTTTAACTAGAACAAAATTGGAACTGAACTAGATCTGACATAGAACAGAGCTATAACTTTGTCCTTTGTCAATCGCCAATTTTGTTTGAAATAAAAACGAATAAATATTAAAAAAACACAATGAACATCCCTGTCTTTTTGCAAAAAGTACATATTTTTATAACCATGCACAAAACAAAAAAGTAATAAAAAAATTCAAAACAAAATAAAAGTCAAAAATTTGCATTCAGTTTGCGCAAAAAAATTAAAAGAACATTTTATTTAAATGTTTAAAAGTGTAAAATACAAAATTTAACGCGAAAGAATGTTTTGTTTGTGTTGTTCATTTAAGTGTCAAAAATACCGGTCTGAACAGGTAAGATTACGTTTTTAATTTCGAGTAACAGTTGCCTTTGTATAATTTAGGAATGGAATTATAACTGAACTAAAACTAGTTATTAAGTTTGAAATTATGATTCCTAAGAAATAACAACAATTAATTTCTTGTAATTAGAGATTTTTGTTTATTATTTTTTTTAATATATTTAATATTTCAGTGCATTTTCTTTACGCAGAAAAAAATGCCAAAAAAGCTTTATAATCTTTTGTCAGTCGTTTTACAATACAATTTTGTTTGAAATAAAAAAAGAAGAAAGAACAAAGAAATAGTAAGAAGAAATAATAATAATAAGTAATAAAAAAAAGATGTTTTAAATACAACTATTATCTGTTTTGTTTGTTTTGGATTTAATTATACAAATTCCACAAAGAAATCTGGCTATCCATGCCAGCCACCGCCATAATGGGAGCTTTCCACATGGCAACTGGTCCGCTAGAATAGACAATATCCATTATGGCACCCGTCTTGTGTTCGGTGAGTACGGCCAGTGGCCGGAGACTCTTCCAGGAAAAGACCCGTACACGACCATCCCAACCGCCCGAAGCGAATACTTTTTGATCCGATCTAATGCGTAGACAATTAATACCGGAATTTTTCAATGATATGTCAGTGGAACGTTGAAGTTGCATTGATTGTCTTTGATAAGAAATGGCAGTCAATTTATCAGCTGAAAAGAACATAATGAAATTAGTTTTTTTTTAATTAAAACTTCAAATAAAAAATATTTACAAGGTCCTCCTATAATGCCTCTGTTAGTTAGAGGATCATAGTCCAAAGCCATGGGATCGGCATCTAATTGCAAGACATCCACCACCATGCCCGAACTAAGATCCCAAGTTAAGAAATGGCCACTTTCATAGCCGGCCAAAACAAACAGCTGCGAAGCACTTTCAAAGGGCTTAAAACAGGTCAATGTACCCAATTTGGGCAACTGAGCATCGTCAGGTACTAATATCTGTGATGGATTCTCCACATCATTTATATGTAATACTCCAATGGAATTCTCCTCACACGGATAAAATAACAAATGATCATCCTTGGCATTCGCAATCGAATGCAAAGCAGTGCGGCAATAGCCCACATAATTGGCATTTATGGTGAAATGCCTTTTATAGCCGGAATTATTTATGGACCACAAAGTCACCGAGCCACCCTTCTCCTGTGATATCAACATATCGTCCGTGTGATGTAGCGTTGTTATGGGCTCCTTGCCAATGTTGAAATGCAAAAGCGAACGATTCGTCTGCAAGTCCCACAGGAAAACGGAACCCTTAATAGTGCCAGCCAGCAGACGTTCGTTTTGGTGAAAGCACAACGAATTGACGGCACCCATTTCGGGACATCTTAAAGTAAAAACTGGATCCGGTGGTAAAACAGCCATTTCTCAACAGTTGTTTTGCGGTGATTTTGTGGTTCTTCTGTTTGTTAAACAAAATATCACTAATTAATTAAAATTAAAAAAAAAACTATACACAATTTTAGTAAAAGAAAAACATGGAATTTGCCAAGTAAAACAAAAGCGGCACAAAAACAAATAATGAAATCAAAGGAGAGAGAACAAAAACAGATGACAGCTGGTTTTTTATGTTTTTTGCTGAAATTTGCACATACACACAGTTGGAGTATTTAGTAGCAGAGAATGATAAATTAAAACTACCAAAGCATATTTTTAGGATGCTCAAATTGGAATTTGTGGCGACTTTTTTTCCTATTCCAAACTTAAACGGAAAAGTACGGGGAAGTTATAAACGTATTTAATGTCACCACTAAACTAAGTTATCGGAAATTTATCATCGCTAATTACATATAATTGCCTTATGCCTAGGGTTCTATAAATCGACTTTCGAATAATCGAACAATCGACTTTTTATCGAAAAAAGTCGAAAAGTCGAAGTCGACTATTTTGTTCCAAAAAAGTCGATAACTCGACTATCGTCTGTGAAAAAAGTCGAAAAGTCGACTTTGTGAATAAAAGTCGAAAAAAGTCGATAAGTCGAAAAAAGTCGATAAGTCGAAAAAAGTCGATAAGTCGAAAAAAGTCGATAAGTCGAAAAAAGTCGATAAGTCGAAAAAAGTCGATAAGTCGAAAAAAGTCGAAAAAAGTCGAAGAAAGTCGAAAAAAGTCGTAAAAAGTCGAAAAGTCGGAAAAGGTCGAAAAAAGTCGGAAAAAGTCGAAAAATCGAAAATTGTAGAAACAAGTCAAAAATAGTCAAAAATTTTAAAAAAGTGGAAAAAAAGTCAAAAACTCTAAAATAGTCGGAAAAACTCGAAAAAAGTCAAAAAATAGTCGGAAAAAAGTAGAAAGAAGTCGAAAATAGTCAAAAAGTCGAAAAAATCGAAAAGTCGAAAAAAGTCGAAAAGTCGAAAAAAGTCGAAAAAAGTCGAAAAGTCGACTATTTATAAAATACTTATAGTTGAAAAGTCTAAAAGTCGACTTTTATTTAAATGAAAAAAGTCGAAAAATCGACTTTTCATAAAATGCAAGAAGTCGAAAAGTCGACTTTTAACTAAATGAAAAAAGTCGAAAAGTCGACTTTTCGTTTCAACTATAGAACCCTACTTATGCCCTTGTTTTTTTTTTTCTTAAATTTTCAATTTTAAAATTTGTTTTATTTTTTCCCAAACCAGATTAATTTCCAACACACAATTTGTTGTATATGTTGTTGTTGTTTATTATTTTTGTCAAGGTATGGACAAAAAGTTATCTGGAATTTTCAGAAAATTGATTTCAACAGACATACAGACAGACAGACCTGATAAACATAAAAACGCAACTTTCCATGTCTGACTTTGATAATACGTAATAGAGCTACCATTCTGTTTTTATGAAATAAAATCGCTGAAAATAACAAAACTATGTGATATGGCAGCCGTTTAACGGTATTTTATTGTGTATTTTTATAATGATGCCAGATTAATTGTTAGTGTATTGTAAATAAATATTAAATAAAATATGGTAGCATTATTTTTCTTTTATATTTATATTAAAACTTGGCCACTAGCAATTATATAGCTGCGGTGTCCGAGTGGTTAAGGAGATGGACTTGAAATCCATTGGGTTCTACCCGCACAGGTTCGAATCCTGTCCGCAGCGTGAATTACTTTTTTTAACTTAATTTTTAAAAAAAAATAAGCAAAAAATATTTTTTTTCATAATTTTTTATTTTAAAAATTTTCGTAATACAATACATTAATTAATGAGTAAAGGGGGTGCATTATTTAAAAATGATTTCATTTCTTTTGTTTTTTTTTCTTTATAATTATAATTTGTTTATAATTAACAACATAAACACAAAATAACTTAATTTAACAAATTTATAATAAAAAAAAAACCAATTCAAGTACCGCAAACGAAAAATAAAAGTTTACAAAAAATAAACAATTTAAGAAAAAAATCCCAATTAAATCACATCATAAGCAATAAATTTAATTTAAACAAAAATAAATTCATATAAAATAATTTTTAAACTTTCGTTTTATGTTTTCTTTTAATGTTAAATAATTTTGTAATAATTATTTACAATTTGGCTCTTTGCTTAACACCTATGGCCTCCAAGACACCACATTCTTCTAAATGTTTAAATAATAAATCTAAATATTCCTCGCGATGTTTCATTAAATGACCGGCATGTAACGAATGTTTCCAACATTTCCAGGTTACCTTAATATCAGCTCTCTCCCAATTCTCACGTACAACTTGATTGGAGGAGGGTGGTCCGATTAGATCATTGTCGGAGACAAAGAAAAGGGCAGGTTTTTTACACAAAGTAGAATGGAACATTTGGCTCGAACGCATATAATGTACGGTGGCCTGATTGTGGAATGTTTTCAAATGGTAGCTGGAATAAAGAAAGGTAAGTAAGCATTATTATTTATTTATGCAAATTTTCTCCTTTACACAACTTACAGTGTATAATTACGTAGTGCCGTTTGCATACGCATATTTTTGGGAAATATCGATTTGGGTACACCCACCGGTATCTCGGTGATATCGGCGGCACTATCCCATACTTGACATATAATACGATTAAGAACATGTGAATAACGATCCATATCTCTGGACATTTGTAACATTAATTCACCAAATTGATAGGCACCCACTGAAAATCCATGCAATACAATGGGTTCATATGATTTGTTGCTTTCCAAAAACTTTAGGGTTTCTGCAGCCACCACTTGTGTGCCCTTGACGGGCCACAACAATTGCCAGGGTGTAATGTGCACGACCATGACATCAAAACCCAATTCTGTATAGATTTCAGCATATTTCTTAAGATGCTTCTGTTTGGCCATCAGCCAGGCCATCATTAAGACCAACGGATTGCCGGTGGGTTTTTTAAACCTGAAAGTATTATGTGAAAAGGAAATGTATAATTTAGTCTAGGAGAAGATATAATGGTTATTGAGAAAACTCCTTAGAATAAAAGACTATAGTCTGAAATGCAGTCTTGGCTAATCTTTAGCCTTGTCTTCAGTATAGTATAGTGTCTATAGTCTAGTCTATAGTCTAGTCTATAGTCTAGTCTATAGTCTAGTCTAGTCTAGTCTATAGTCTAGTCTATAGTCTAGTCTATAGTCTAGTCTATAGTCTAGTCTATAGTCTAGTCTATAGTCTAGTCTATAGTCTAGTCTATAGTCTAGTCTATAGTCTAGTCTATAGTCTAGTCTATAGTCTAGTCTATAGTCTAGTCTATAGTCTATTCTATAGTCTAGTCTACAGTCTTGTCTTTAGTATAGTCCTTAGTCTAGTCTATAGTCTAGTCTATAGTCTAGTCTATAGTCTAGTCTATAGTCTAGTCTATAGTCTAGTCTATAGTCTAGTCTATAGTCTAGTCTATAGTCTAGTCTATAGTCTAGTCTATAGTCTAGTCTATAGTCTAGTCTATAGTCTAGTCTATAGTCTAGTCTATAGTCTAGTCTATAGTCTAGTCTATAGTCTAGTCTATAGTCTAGTCTATAGTCTAGTCTATAGTCTAGTCTATAGTCTAGTCTATAGTCTAGTCTATAGTCTAGTCTATAGTCTAGTCTATAGTCTAGTCTATAGTCTAGTCTATAGTCTAGTCTATAGTCTAGTCTATAGTCTAGTCTATAGTCTAGTCTATAGTCTAGTCTATAGTCTAGTCTATAGTCTAGTCTATAGTCTAGTCTATAGTCTAGTCTATAGTCTAGTCTATAGTCTAGTCTATAGTCTAGTCTATAGTCTAGTCTATAGTCTAGTCTATAGTCTAGTCTATAGTCTAGTCTATAGGCTAGTCTATAGTCTAGTCTATAGTCTAGTCTATAGTCTAGTCTATAGTCTAGTCTATAGTCTAGTCTATAGTCTAGTCTATAGTCTAGTCTATAGTCTAGTCTATAGTCTAGTCTATAGTCTAGTCTATAGTCTAGTCTATAGTCTAGTCTATAGTCTAGTCTATAGTCTAGTCTATAGTCTAGTCTATAGTCTAGTCTATAGTCTAGTCTATAGTCTAGTCTATAGTCTAGTTTATAGTCTAGTCTATAGTCTAGTCTATAGTCTAGTCTATAGTCTAGTCTATAGTCTAGTCTATAGTCTAGTCTATAGTCTAGTCTATAGTCTAGTCTATAGTCTAGTCTATAGTCTAGTCTATAGTCTAGTCTATAGTCTAGTCTATAGTCTAGTCTATAGTCTAGTCTATAGTCTAGTCTATAGTCTAGTCTATAGTCTAGTCTATAGTATAGTCTATAGTCTTGTCTTTAGTATAGTCCTAGTATAGTCCTTAGTCTAGTCTATAGTCTAGTCTATAGTCTAGTCTATAGTCTAGTCTATAGTCTAGTCTATAGTCTAGTCTATAGTCTAGTCTATAGTCTAGTCTATAGTCTAGTCTATAGTCTAGTCTATAGTCTAGTCTATAGTCTAGTCTATAGTCTTGTCTTTAGTATAGTCCTTAGTCTAGTCTATAGTCTAGTTTATAGTCTAGTCTATAGTCTAGTCTATAGTCTAGTCTATAGTCTAGTCTATAGTCTAGTCTATAGTCTAGTCTATAGTCTAGTCTATAGTCTAGTCTATAGTCTAGTCTATAGTCTAGTCTATAGTCTAGTCTATAGTCTAGTCTATAGTCTAGTCTATAGTCTAGTCTATAGTCTAGTCTAGTCTATAGTCTAGTCTATAGTCTAGTCTATAGTCTAGTCTATAGTCTAGTCTATAGTCTAGTCTATAGTCTAGTCTATAGTCTAGTCTATAGTCTAGTCTAGTCTATAGTCTAGTCTATAGTCTAGTCTATAGTCTAGTCTATAGTCTAGTCTATAGTCTAGTCTATAGTCTAGTCTATAGTCTAGTCTATAGTCTAGTCTATTGTCTAGTCTATAGTCTAGTCTATTGTCTAGTCTATAGTTTAGTCTATGGTATAATCTACAGTCTGGTATAGTCTATAGTATAGTTTATGGTCCATCTTTTAGTTTAGTTTATAGTCTAGTCTATCTTTCAGTCTAGTTTATAGTCTAGCCTATCTTATAGTCTAGTCTATGGTCTAGCGTCCCATGTTGTGACATATCTCTACTTACTCTAATGTATTTCTATCCACTTCACTTTTAAATGTACCATTTGTATATAAAGTCATATTTTTAGTTATTTCTTTTGAAGAAATATAACGACGATTCTTTAACGGAGCCATGGCGTTCTGTAAGAAAATAACAATAGAAATTTAATAACATATAGGTAGAATTTACAAAGAAACTTAAATTTAAATTGTTAGTAATACTTTATATAGTTATAGTTAATTATTTTATTTTTATACAGTTGGCAATTTAAAGTTAAAAATTTAAACAGCTTACAAAACAATATTTTTGCGGTTGCTATTTCTTTAGTGTGTTTATAACTTTGTTATAGAAATTTTTGCTTAAAAGCGGCTGGTCTTTTAGTTATTTTTTTGAGCGTTAGTAGTCAGTACTTTGATAGTAATTTTGAACTGATAAAAAGAGTCCAATAGTTGATTAGAAATGTTTAGGTGAAACTGATAAGTTGCGTTTAAATTTCGATAATATTAATAAAGAGAATAAGAGAAATTTTATTAATGTTTATGACAATAAAAGTTGTAAACAAATAAATAGGCTTATTTTTAGGGGAAGAAGATAAAATTTGGTGACATTTTTTGACTACAATCCAAAATTTACCATCGAATGCATCATGATCTTGATACATTTCACATTTTATAATATTAACAAAATTTTACACATTTTCTTTTTAAATAGTATATTAAACAAATGTTTACACTCACTTTATAATATCTTTTAATAAATTTATACAATTTAAATAAAACTATTAATAAAATACTAATATAAATAAATTCAAGCATTTTTACACGTTTTTTTAGAAACAAATATTAAAAAAAATTAAATTTTCTGTTAAATTTCAAGTTCATTTAAGTTGCAATTATAATAGAAACTGAATTAAAAAAGCAACAAAAAAGGAAAATTCAAAATGAACAATCAAACGACAAAAAATAGAACAAAAAAACCGTATCACTACTGAGTTTGCTCTTGTGAAAAACTAGAAAAATTAGTCTAAAACTACTGATGAGAGTAAATTGTCTACAGCAACTAAAAAAAGCGACAGAAAAACTACAATAAATAAATTTCAATTTCGTATAGAAAGATGTAATGCAAAAAACAAAAAAAAAAACACCCGCAACTACTAAAGTTACTTTCTATAGAAAATAAAGTCAGCTTAGAGAATTTACTAATTGACTTGACAGTCAAAAGTTATTCTCCTAAAAAAAGGGGGTACTGACGCCTAAAAGAGGAAAAAAGTGTTCTATTAAACGTACATCTAACGAATATGACACGCAAATGTTTAAATTGAAGGTACATACATCCATACATTTGTAATTGGATTTTGATTGGCCAAACAAAAATAAAACTATATAATAACTGATCATTACAATTGTTAAATGAAATTTCGAAATTTACAAACAAAAACAGCTGTTTTAATAAAATTATGAAACTAGAGTAAGAAATTTAATAGCAGGTGTTGGATTTATTAACTAATATGTTTTATGCATATTAATTTTGATGAGTTTATTTGTCAAATGTTTAAGAATTTTATTCTAATATTAAACCAAAGCTATTGTGGTTTAGAAAACTACACCATTCCTAGTACTAAGTAAGGAAGTAAGGTACGTAAGTAAGTAAGTAAGTAAGTAAGTAAGTAAGAAGTAAGTAAGTAAGTAAGTAAGTAAGTAAGTAAGTAGTAAGTAAAGTAAGTAAGTAATAAGTAAGTAAGTAAGTAAGTAAGTAAGTAGTAAGTAAGTAAGTAAGTAAGTAAGTAAGTAAGTAAGTAAGTAAGTAAGTAAGTAAGTAAGTAATTAAGTAAGTAAGTAAGTAAGTAAGTAAGTAAGTAAGTAAGTAATTAAGTAAGTAAGTAAGTAAGTAAGTAAGTAAGTAAGTAAGGTAAGTAAGTAAGTAAGTAAGTAAGTAAGTAAGTAAGTAAGTAAGTAAGTAAGTAAGTAAGTAAGTAAGTAAGTAAGTAAGTAAGTAAGTAAGTAAGTAAGTAAGTAAGTAAGTAAGTAGTAAGTAAGTAAGTAAGTAAGTAAGTAAGTAAGTAAGTAAGTAAGTAAGTAAGTAAGTAAGTAAGTAAGTAAGTAAGTAAGTAAGTAAGTAAGTAAGTAAGTAAGTAAGTAAGTAGAAGTAAGTAAGTAAGTAAGTAAGTAAGTAAGTAAGTAAGTAAGTAAGTAAGTAAGTAAGTAAGTAAGTAAGTAAGTAAGTAAGTAAGTAAGTAAGTAAGTAGTAAGTAAGTAAGTAAGTAAGTAAGTAAGTAAGTAAGTAAGTAAGTAAGTAAGTAAGTAAGTAAGTAAGTAAGTAAGTAAGTAAGTAAGTAAGTAAGTAAGTAAGTAAGTAAGTAAGTAAGTAAGTAAGTAAGTAAGTAAGTAAGTAAGTAAGTAAGTAAGTAAAGTAAGTAAGTAAGAAGTAAGTAAGTAAGTAAGTAAGTAAGTAAGTAAGTAAGTAAGTAAGTAAGTAAGTAAGTAAGTAAGTAAGTAAGTAAGTAAGTAAGTAAGTAAGGAAGTAAGAAGAAAGTAAGTAAGTAAGTAAGTAAGTAAGTAAGTAAGTAAGTAAGTAAGAGTAAGTAAGTAAGTAAGTAAGTAAGTAAGTAAGTAAGTAAGTAAGGAAGTAAGTAAGTAAGTAAGAAGTAAGAGTAAGTAAGTAAGTAAGTAAGTAAGGAAGAGTAAGTAAGTAAGGAAGTAAGTAAGTAAGGAAGTAAGGAAGTAAGTAAGTAAGTAAGAAGGAAGTAAGTAAGTTCCTATCTTTCATCGCTCTCTTGCTAGTCGACCTATGCTATGATACTATAGCTATCTAAGCTAGACGAGCGAGACGAGCTACGAGCGAGCGAGCGAGCGAGCGAGCGAGCGAGCGAGCGAGCGAGCGAGCGAGGCGAGCGAGCGAGCGAGCGAGCGAGCGAGCGAGCGAGCTAGCGAGCGAGCGAGCGAGCGAGCGAGCGAGCGAGCGAGCGAGCGAGCGAGCGAGCGAGCGAGCGAGCGAGCGAGCGAGCGAGCGAGCGAGCGAGCGAGCGAGCGAGCGAGCGAGCGAGCGAGCGAGCGAGCGAGCGAGCGAGCGAGCGAGCGAGCGAGCGAGCGAGCGAGCGAGCGAGCGAGCGAGCGAGCGAGCGAGCGAGCGAGGAGCGAGCGAGGCGAGCGAGCGAGCGAGCGAGCGAGCGAGCGAGCGAGCGAGCGAGCTAGCTAGCAGCGAGCGAGCGAGCGAGCGAGCCGAGCGAGCGAGCGAGCGAGCGAGCAGCGAGCGAGCGAAGCGAGCGAGCGAGCGAGCTAGCGGAGCGAGCGAGCGAGCGAGCGAGCGCGAGCGAGCGAGCGAGCAGCGAGCGAGCGAGCGAGCGAGCGAGCGAGCGAGCGAGCGAGCGAGCGAGCGAGCGAGCGAGAGCAGCGAGCGAGCGAGCGAGCGAGCAGCGAGCGAGCGAGCGAGCGAGCGAGCGAGCGAGCGAGCGAGAGCGAGCGAGCGTAGCGAGCGAGCGAGCGAGCGAGCGAGCGAGCAGCGAAGTAGCAGCGAGCGAGCGAGTGAGCGAAAGCGAGGAGCGAGCGAGAGAGCGATGAGGCGACCGAGCGAGCTAGCGAGCGAGCGAGGAGCGAGCGATAGAGCGAGCGAGCAGGAGCGAGCGCTAGCGCGATAGCGAGCAGCGAGCGGCAGCGAGCGAGCGAGAGAGCGAGCGTAGCAGGGAGCAGCGAGCGAGAGCGAGCTAGCGAGCGAGGAGCGTAGGAGAGAGCGAGGCGAGCGAGCGGCTATCTATCTATCAGCTATTATCTACCTTATCTATCTATTCTAATATCTATCATCTATCTATCTATCTATCTCCTATCTATCTATCTATCTATCATCATCTATCTATCATTATCTATCTATCTATCTATCTATCTATCTATCTATCTATATTCGTAAAATTTATCGAAAAAGTCACTTCTTTTGAAAAAGTGATCTTTTTGGTTGAAAAGTAAAATATTGACAATACTATTTACTTTTTATTTACACTTCTTTTCAAATCAACACGTGTATGCTTTTATTACATTTCTATACTAAATATATTTCGTAATAAACTTCACTTGTTAAGCCCGACTTTACTAATAGGGAAATAAACTAGTTCGCAGTAAAAACAATTTAGAATATTTAAATTTATGACAAAACAAATCGATTAATTCCAGTTTAACATTTACTTAATGTACAAATAATTATTAAAATTAATAATGGTTAATAACAAAAAAATATCAGTAAAACATTAACATTAAACTAATAACGCTAAATTATTTATATTAATCACCTTATAAAGTGCTTACAAATGCTTTTTTCTTTCATACAAACGGTTGTAAATTTTTACAAATTTAAAAACAGAATAAAAGAAAAAAACACAATAATTAAAAAATAAACGAAATAGTGAGTGATGTTTGTAAATTGATATACATTTGTTTTTTTCTATTCTTTCGATTTTCTCACCCCTCTATGTAGCCGAATATATAGGGTCTATTATTATATACTATAATTATTAAATATAAAAGAATTTTATTCAACATACCTGATGTTGTAGGTTTCTCTATTAGTTTTAGAAGAAAACAAAAAAAACTAAAACGTGATACCCTCTAAAACAAACTATTATGATAGATTTATAAATTATTATTCTCTATAAACGTGACTAGTGTTTGCTCTTTTTTTCTTTTCTGAATTAAAAAAGAGTATAAAAGATAAGAGCTTAGAATTAAGTAGAGAGAAGAATACAATTATAACAAAACCAGTGAAGAGATTTTGAAAAGGGGGAAATTTATTATAAAAATGTTAAGAGTAAAGTTGAAAAAAGTATTTTACAAGGATTTCTAAACTTTTTGAATATTTTGAAATGGGTTTTGTTTGAAATCTAGCTTTATTTTATAAATAACAAATAATTGGCCATTTGGGGTTTAAAAATTTCGCCCTAGCGTACTCTTTGCTCATCACTGTGAGAAATTTATTTATGAATTACTTGAGGTTAAGTGTTAGTAACATTTTTTTATTACATTTGTTTAAATAGAAACAAGCAATATGTGAAAATTATTATGTAAATTAAACCTTTAGAGATAAATTTAAATATGAATGAATTATTTGCGTTTGTGGTTTGTAAATAAGATTTAATGATTTTGATTTAACGGTTTTAAAGTTCAATATTACTGTAAATAAAACAATCTTGAGAACTGATATGCATCTACTAAGCTTGACAATTTCCTATAACGCTTTGTCGCAATCATTTTGTTTATATTTTCCCCTTTATTTAAACAAAATTAGCCCCCCCATAGTTGCTTTTAAAATCTTTATCTTAAACAATAACATTATTTAATCTTTTAAAATTAGATAACAATATACAGAAGTTTGTAACAATCAGCAAATAATAAGCGTATTCAACTTTTATAAATAATGACCTTTAATATCAACAATTTTAATAGGAAAAATACACATTACCTAAGTAATCAAGTTGATAAGAAAAAAAGAAGCTTTTGTGTATTTTGCCCTTTTTGTAAAAAAAAGAACAGAAATGTTAGATAATATAAAATACGTCTGTCTGGTTTGGAAATATTCGCTGATAACTTTCATAATAACAGTTTTTAAAACAAAAGTATATTTTAGACTTTGTTGACCGTTTAGTCCAAGCTTCCCATACCAATTCGATTCAAAATATCTTTTCTGTTTTCATCTACCTTCTATATTCGCATATATTATATTAAACAAATAACCAGCTAGCATGAAAACCTATAACACCTGCTACGACTACGTCATAGAATCATTTTTAAATAAATTTTTCCTTTCTTTAAATTATTTCACATTATTATAGTTTCTTTTATTAATAATATTTTTTTCTTGTTGGCAATTTGTCAAACATTTTACCAACAAAAGGTTTAGCTCATCTACATTTTAAATTGTTATAAATAAATTAAAATGCAAAAAAAAAAAAAAACTACTAGACAATGCTGGTATTACAAATGTCATTAATTATGCATGACTTTATTTTATAAATATGTAGTATTTACGAATTGTTTACAATTAAAAAGTATTAATTCAAAACAAATTAATAAAAATACAGTATACTACACACTAGTATATAGTTAAGTATATAGCGTAGTCATAGTCTTGTTTTTAGTCAAGTCTATAGTCCAGTCTATAGTTTAGTCCATAGCCTAGTCTATAGTCTAGTCTATAGCCTAGAATATAGGAAATAGTATTGTGTATAGTCTAGTCTATAGTCTAGTCTTTAATTTACTCTATAGTCTAATCTATAGTCTAGTCTATAGTCTAATCTATAGTCTAGTCTATAGTCTAATCTATAGTCTAGTCTATAGTCTAGCCTATAGTCTAGTTTATAGTCTAGTCTATAGTCTAGTCTATAGTCTAGTATATAGTCTAGTCAATCGTCTAGTCTATAGTCTAGTCTATAGTCTAGTCTATAGTCTAGACTATAGTCTAGTCTATAGTCTAGTCTATAGTCTAGTCTATAGTCTAGTCTATAGTCTAGTCTATAGGCTAGTCTATAGTCTAGTCTATAGTCTAGTCTATAGTCTAGTCTATAGTCTAGTCTATAGTCTAGTCTATAGTCTAGTCTATAGTCTAGTCTATAGTCTAGTCTATAGTCTAGTCTATAGTCTAGTCTATAGTCTAGTCTATAGTCTAGTCTATAGTCTAGTCCATAGTCTAGTCTATAGTCTAGTCTACAGTCTAGTCTATAGTCTAGTCTATAGTCTAGTCTATAGTCTAGTCTATAGTCTAGTCTATAGTCTAGTCTATAGTCTAGTCTATAGTCTAGTCTATAGTCTAGTCTATAGTCTAGTCTATAGTCTAGTCTATAGTCTAGTCTATAGTCTAGTCTATAGTCTAGTCTATAGTCTAGTCTATAGTCTAGTCTAGTCTATAGTCTAGTCTATAGTCTAGTCTAGTCTAGTCTAGTCTATAGTCTAGTCTAGTCTATAGTCTAGTCTATAGTCTAGTCTAGTCTATAGTCTAGTCTATAGTCTAGTCTATAGTCTAGTCTATAGTCTAGTCTATAGTCTAGTCTATAGTCTAGTCTATAGTCTAGTCTATAGTCTAGTCTATAGTCTAGTCTATAGTCTAGTCTATAGTCTAGTCTATAGTCTAGTCTATAGTCTAGTCTATAGTCTAGTCTATAGTCTAGTCTATAGTCTAGTCTATAGTCTAGTCTATAGTCTAGTCTATAGTCTAGTCTATAGTCTAGTCTATAGTCTAGTCTATAGTCTAGTCTATAGTCTAGTCTATAGTCTAGTCTATAGTCTAGTCTATAGTCTAGTCTATAGTCTAGTCTATAGTCTAGTCTATAGTCTAGTCTATAGTCTAGTCTATAGTCTAGTCTATAGTCTAGTCTATAGTCTAGTCTATAGTCTAGTTTATAGTCTAGTCTATAGTCTAGTCTATAGTCTAGTCTATAGTCTAGTCTATAGTCTAGTCTATAGTCTAGTCTATAGTCTAGTCTATAGTCTAGTCTATAGTCTAGTCTATAGTCTAGTCTATAGTCTAGTCTATAGTCTAGTCTATAGTCAAGTCTATAGTCTAGTCTATAGTCTAGTCTATAGTCTAGTCTATAGTCTAGTCTATAGTCTAGTCTATAGTCTAGTCTATAGTCTAGTCTATAGTCTAGTCTAGTCTATAGTCTAGTCTATAATCTAGTCTATAGTACATAGTCTAGTCTATAGTCTAGTCTATAGTCTAGTCTATAGTCTAGTCTATAGTCTAGTCTATAATCTAGTCTATAGTCTGGTCTATAGTCTAGTCTATAATCTAGTCTATAGTCTAGTCTATAGTCTAGTCTATAGTCTAGTCTATAGTCTAGTCTATAGTCTAGTCTATAGTCTAGTCTATAGTCTAGTCTATAGTCTAGTCTATAGTCTAGTCTATAGTCTAGTCTACAGTCTAGTCTATAGTCTAGTCTATAGTCTAGTCTATAGTCTAGTCTATAGTCTATAGTATAGCCTATAGTCTAGTCTATAGTCTAGTCTATAGTCTAGGCTATAGTCTAGTCTATAGTCTAGTCTATAGTCTAGTATAGTCTATAGTATAGTCTATAGTCTAGTCTATAGTCTAGTCTATAGTCTAGTCTATAGTCTGGTCTGTAGTATAGTCTATAGTATAGTCTATAGTCTAGTCTATAGTCTAGTCTATAGTCTAGTCTATAGTCTAGTATAGTCTATAGTATAGTCTATAGTCTAGTATAGTCTATAGTATAGTCTATAGTCTAGTCTATAGTCTAGTCTATAGTCTAGTCTATAGTCTAGTCTGTAGTATAGTCTATAGTATAGTCTATAGTATAGCCTATAGTCTAGTCTATAGTCTGGTCTGTAGTATAGTCTATAGTATAGTCTATAGTCTGGTCTATAGTCTAGTCTATAGTCTAGTCTATAGTCTAGTCTATAGTCTAGTATAGTCTATAGTATAGTCTATAGTCTAGTATAGTCTATAGTATAGTCTATAGTATAGTCAATAGTCTAGTCTATAGTCTAGTCTACAGTCTAGTCTATAGTCTAGTCTATAGTCTACAGTCTAGTCTATAGTCTAGTCTATAGTCTACAGTCTATATAGCCTAGTCTATAGTCTGTCTATAGTCTAGTCTATAGTCTAGTCTATATTCGAGTGTATAGTCTAGCCTATAGTCCAGTCTATAGTCTAGTCTATAGTCTGGTCTATAGTCTAGTCTATAGTCTAGTCTATGGTCTAGTATATAGTCTAGTCTATGGTCTAGTCTATTGTCGATTCTAAAGTAAAGACGTTAGGCAAGTCTAGTCCATAGTCTAGTCTATAGTGTAATCTATAGTCTATAGTTATCTAGTTTACAGTCCAGAATACAGTCTAGTCTATAATAAAGACTAATGTCTATTCTATAGTCTTAACTATAGTCTAGTCTATAGTACAGACAATTGTCTAGTCTATAGTTTAAATTATGAAAAGCATATTTTTTAGTATTCCATTCAACAAATTTAAATTAATTCAAATGTTTAAAGTTTAATTACGTTAACATTAGCTAGAGAGAAAGTACAATTTTAACCCCTTAATTAAGTGGTTAATATAATAATAGCCTTATAAAAAAACTAATTATAAATAAAATTAAAATATTATTAAAACAAATGATTCTCCTAAATTTTAAATTTAAAAACCCTGAGAAAGAAAACAAAAAATGCATTGATATTAACAGTAACAAACAAATTAATTATATTGACAAAGTGTATAAAGAAAATTGTGTTGTTTTTTTATTATATTGATATAAATACTTTTGATATCATTAGGTTAACTAGCTAAAGATAAAGAAATTGTGCTCAACAATTTATATAAAAATTATGCACTTTTTCTTTACACAATAAACTTTGTACTTTGAACATTTGGCTATAAATCAGTGTAAAATTGAGGTAAAAAAAAAAGAATAAAGACTCGTCTTACTTATGCATGAATACACAAATATTGCAAATAAATCTTGCATATATAATAATTAAAATTAATTGAAGTATAATAAAGTAAAATGTGTTAGTATGTATAAATGTAACAAACAAACAAACAGACAATGCACGCAACAGCCAAAACATATATTGAAAATTCAATTGAATATAGTTCAATAGCCATCAATAAAAATTAATGAATATTGAAGAAGATTCAATATATAAAATAAATTTAAATTATTATTATTACGGTTTGAAAACTTATGTTTGTTTTTTAGTATTTAGTAACTTAATTAAATTAGTTTTAAAATTAAGAAAATAACAAATTGTGCTTACTTGATGAACTAGTTTAGAACACTGGGACTGCAGTGGCATATTTAAACTTGAAAAATTACGTATTTGTTGTAATGGTTTATATTTGGACATTAACAGCATGGGAGTAGCAGCTGAAGTGCCAGTAAAAGATGTTGTTGCTCCCTTAGGAGCTGAAGTATAACCACGTAATTGAGCTTAGTTTAAGGAAAATAGATAAATAGTTATAATAAGATTGCATTTAAGAAGATTTAGAAAAAAAAATAGAAACAACAATTACCAGCATTTGTATGTTGGAAGCCTACGTTAAGGTTGGCAGCAGCCGTTTGCAAAGTTGTTAACGTTTTTCGTATAGAGTTTTGATGTTTGCTAGAGATGATTGAATTGATGTTGTTTGATAATGTAGTGTTTGATAGGCCTATTAAAGGTCTAGTAGATGTTTTGGTTGATGATTTAATAAAACACAAACGTGGTGCCGTAGTATTCAAGACAAAACGGGATATGGTAGCCATTTTTGGTTTGTTTGTTAAACTGTTTTTTTTTTTTGTGTAATGAAGGTATACAACTGAAAACGTAAAGAAATATATATATATATAAACTTAAAATAAATGTTTAACAATACATTTGTAATTTTACTTTTACTAGAAACAAAAGCCTAATTTAATAGATTTTTTAAGGGGTTTATCAGTTTTGAATTTTTCTTTTAAACCAAGAAGTAAGGGTTTGTTATTGTTTTTATGTTAAAGAGCTTAAATAAGAGAATGATAGTAGCTAGAGAGTGAGGAAAACCATGAGAAACCACAATAGTTTTTTTTTTAGTTTAATAATAATTTTATATAAATTTTAGTATTTAGTAAATTGTTTTGTTAGTTGTTGCTTGTTTCTATATGTTGTATATTGTACATTAGTTTGGTTGGCTGAAGCTTTCGACTCACGCATAGCTAATAACACAAATAGAGGGGAAATATAGATATCAAGGTCCAAAATATTGTAAACTTCACACTATGTAGTTGATAAGAAATTGATATGATACTTATATAAAAATATCGAAATATTCTATAGCCTAGTATCATTGCCAAGTCTATATTCTAATCTATAACTTAGTATCTAGTCTATTCTAGTGTTAATTGCACAGTTTAGTCAGTCTAGTCTGTAGTATCAACCTTTAGTTTATTCTAGTTAGATATAGTCTGTATATAGCATGCCTTTATGATCTATTTATTTATTATCTATCTATCTATCTATGAGCGAGCGAGCGAGCGAGCGAGCGAGCGAGCGAGCGAGCAGCGAGCGAGCGAGCGACGAGCGAGAGGAGCGAGCGAGCGAGCGAGCGAGCGAGCGAGGAGCGAGCGAGCGAGCGAGCGAGCGAGCGAGCGAGCGAGCGAGCGAGCGAGCGAGCGAGCGAGCGAGCGAGCGAGCGAGCGAGCGAGAGAGCGAGCGAGCGAGCGAGCGAGAGAGCGAGCGAGGCGAGCGAGCGAGCGAGCGAGCGAGCGAGCGAGCGAGAGCGAGCGAGCGAGCGAGCGAGCGAGCGAGCGAGCGAGAGAGCGAGCGAGCGAGCGAGCGAGCGAGCGAGCGAGCGAGCGAGCGAGCGAGCGAGCGAGCGAGCGAGAGAGAGAGCGAGCGAGCGAGCGAGCGAGCGAGCGAGCGAGCGAGCGAGCGAGCGAGCGAGCGAGCGAGAGAGCGAGCGAGCGAGCGAGCGAGCGAGCGAGCGAGGAGAGAGCGAGCGAGCGAGCGAGCGAGCGAGCGAGCGAGCGAGCGAGAGAGCGAGCGAGCGAGCGAGCGAGCGAGCGAGCGAGCGAGCGAGCGAGCGAGCGAGCGAGCGAGCGAGGAGCGAGCGAGCGAGCGAGCGAGCGAGCGAGCGAGGGAGCGAGCGAGCGAGCGAGGGAGCGAGGGAGCGAGGATAGCGAGCGAGGGAGCGAGCGAGCGAGCGAGCAGGAGCGAGCGAGCGAGAGAGCGAGCGAGCGAGAGAGCTAGCGAGCGAGCGAGAGAGCGAGGAGCGAGCGAGCGAGCGAGCGAGCGATCGAGAGAGCGAGCGAGCTATCTAGCTATCGATATCTAGCTATCTATCTATCGATCGATCTATATATCTATATCTCGATCATCTATCTATCGATCTATCATATCTATCTATCTATCTATCTATCTATCATCTACTATTATCTATCTATCTATCTATCTATCTATCTATCTATCTATCTATCTATCTATCTATCTTTGAAAAGTAAATTAGTACTAGAATTAGACCTATTTACGAGTTCCTAACCTGTTTCAGATCATGCTTAACTTTGTTGCATGTTTTCCTTGAGAACAGCATATAAACAAAAAAAAATGCTTTCCACAGTTCCACACTTACGACTACACCATAAGCCATCTTTTACTATCAGTAGGGTGTAATTAAATATATAGAAACAACAACTACAAATACAATTTATATTACACACCAACACCGCACATTACCACACGACAGAAAATTTTGAAAAGTTCAACGTTAAAGAAAAATCTAAATACACATTGAGGCACAACACACAACATAGACTTTGTACCCAATCAGAGAAAAGGCATTTATATAAAAAAAATTAAGCAGGAATACTGATAAGCCTCAAAAAAAGGCAGTTTAAAGGAGCAAGATGTGGTAAAAACCAAAGATAGCATTAAACACTTCATACACAAAAAATGGGTATAGATTTTTTTGCTCTGTTCTGTTAAATTATTAATAGCCACAATTATTGTTAATTGCAACAAAGACTTACCTAGTTTTCGTGTCCACACGGAAAAAATAATTGTTGTATATTTCTTGCTTCCTGCTGTTGTCGTTGTGGTAACTTTATCGGCAACAATAATACTGTTGTATTGATTACTTCTTGTGTATGTTTTTCTGCGCACTTTAATATTCTTTTAATTAGATTTAATAAATGTCTGCTGATTTTTATTTTCTTTTTTTTTTTTTGCATAGAATTTATGCTATAATTATATTATCAACCGATTTCGGACCGACCCAATGCAGCCCGTAAACTGCACACACAATCCAAAACAAAAATTGCAATCCATTTAAGCGACACCTGCGTCAATTAGATTTCATGAGGTCGTTGTAGCTGTTTAAGAAAATGTTAACGCCGTCAAAGTTTTGTTGGTGACGGGAGATTTTTTTATCAAATTTTTAACGGTTAGGGAAATAAATAAAACAATAATTGAAGGGAATATAAAGTTAAATTACCAAATTCTTTAGAATTTAAGAATTTTTAAAAGCAATATAATAATTAAAGTTTATTTTTAAACTATGTTGAATGTACATATTTTTAACGGCGTTATTTCTACAGCCATTCATCGCCATTGTTATTTTCATTGTATTTTAAAGCGAATTTATAAACAGCTGTTAATTTTTTCATATTCGCCTTAGCGGGTTTATTAAAGTTGTCGTTTTATTTGTTTGTGTTTTGTGAAGTTTTCGAATAATTTGTGTTTTCTAATTTAATTCTTTTACTAAATAAATTATTAACAATTTAACAAGGTATTTATATCAAATTTTATTATACTAGCAGTGTTGAATATTAATAAGAACTTTAACACGTAAAATAAAATACATACATAATACCTATCTGCAAATTTTATTGTTTTTTTTTTTTAATTCCATTTCTGTTTCCTTATGTGGTAAAATTAAAGTCTTCTTGGCTTAACTGTTATATTTTCCTAATATTGCCCATTTTAATCGCGAATCGAGCTCCTTTTTATAATTAGCAAATAAAGTGCTCTATTGTATTTAGCGTATCGAGTAGTGGCCGCTTCCATTGTTTCTAAATATGGCCTTGGGTAAAAAAGGTACAAACAATACAACTTTTTACTCAATATTTAATTTTGATTAAAGATTTTCCGAAATATTTATGAAAAAATCTATAGTCTAGCTCTAAAGTCTTTTTCTCTTAACTGACATATTTTCCTAATATTGCCCAGTTTAATCGCGAATCGAGCTCCTTTTTATAAGTAGCAAATAATGTGCCATATTGTATTTAGCGTATCGAGTAGTGGCCGCTTCCCACTACTCGATACAATACAACTTTTTACTCAATATTTAATTTTGATTAAAGATTTTATGAAAAAAGTTAAATATTTATGAAAAAATCTATTGTCTAGTCTATAGTGTAGTCTATAGTGTAGTCTATAGTCTAGTCAAATCTAATGTATAGACTATAGTCTAGTATTTAGTCTAGTCTATAGTCTAGTCTATAGTCTAATCTATAGTCTAATCGATAGTATAATCTAAAGTCTAGTCTATATTCTTGTCTATACTATAGTCTAGTATATTCGCTAGTCTATATTCTAGTCTATAGTATAGTCTATAGTCTAGAATATAGTTTAGTCTATGGTCTAGTCTATAGTCTAGTCTATAATATTGAAATAAAACAAGTATTTCTTTATTTTTAATTTTTCTTATAAAATAAACATTTTTAATAACTTTATTTTAAATATTTTGTCAATAATTAATTTCACCTTTAAAAATCGGGTTAAAACCGTAATGTGGGTCTCTTGAAATCGGTTTGAATGGGTCTATCAGATGATAGTGTACCAGGTCTGTTACGATCTATACCGTTAGCAAGCGTCAATGTAGTCAAAGCTAATAATACAAGGGCTATGAGAATTACACGTTTAAAGAACTGCATGTTGTAGAGAATATGTTTGGAATATTTTATAATTTTTAGCTAATAACGAACTGTTGTGAGTTTTAAGAATTTTAAGCTTTTTATAGTCTTTCTATACATATATGAAATTCTTATCAGTTTATGTTTTTAAGTATGGTTTTAAGATAGGGTACATCACTTTGGCTAAGGGGGTTTTTATTTATAAATATTTTTATTTTAAATAAAAATAATAACACACTGTCAGTTTAAAAATACATGCAATGCTATTAAGACGAATTCTAAATTCGATAAATAAGGTTACAACCATTGATTGTTTAACCTTTTATTCGAATTAACGGAATTCTTAAAACAATGCGATCCGGGAAATCCTAGAGATCCATAAACATAATAACCTAATAAAAATCCCGTCCTACATATTTTGTGCTATGATGATAACGGCAAGGTGATTCACACAAATGATCGGATCCATCAGTCTTCTGATAAGAAAAAGTAATCTTCGATACAAGGGTATAAAAGCTGCTTTTCACTTAAAACACAACATTCACAAGTCGTCTACCGTTTTGAGTACTTCAAAGAAAACATCCTATACATCATGCAAATCTATAAAAATATTATCCTCGTAGCCTTTGCTTTGTTAGCTTTGGCCTCTTCATTGGTGAGTGCCGAGTGGAGACCTCATGGCAGTATTGGCGGTAGTGGTTTAAGACCTGGCAGACCACAAACTTTACCACCTCAAAGACCCAGACGACCAGATTTCAATGGACCTCGTCATCGTTTTTAAAGGAAATTTTTTAAAATGTAATTTTATAATAAAAAATAACTTAGTTTGAATAAATAAAATAAAGTTTTAAGTAAATTAATGATGTTTTGATTTTAATTATAAGGAACGATTGTTCATTAACACTATAATATATAGAATAGCCCACATGCTAGACTACACTATAAACTAGAATAGACTATAGATTAGTCTAAAGACTAGACTGTAGAATAGATTATAGACTAGGCTATAGACTATACTATAGACTGTACTATAGACTAGACTATAGACTAGACTATAGACTAGACTATAGACTAGACTATAGACTAGACTATAGACTAGACTATAGACTAGATTATCGACTAGACTATAGATTAGACTATAGACTAGACTATATACTAGACTATAGACTAGACTATTGATCAGACTATCGACTAGACTATAGATTAGACTATAGACTAGACTATAGACCAGACTATTGACTAGACTAGACTATAGACTAAACTATAGACTAGACTATAGACTAGACTATAGACTAGACTATAGACTAGACTATAGACTAGACTATAGACTAGACTATAGACTAGACTATAGACTAGACTATAGACTAGACTATAGACCTTACTATAGACTAGACTATAGACTAAACTATAGACTAGACTATAGACCTTACTATAGACTAGACTATAGACTAAACTATAGACTAGACTATAGACTAGACTATAGACTAGACTATAGACTAGACTATAGACTAGACTATAAACTAGACTATAGACTAGACTATAGATTAGACTATAGACTAGACTATATACTAGACTATAGACTAGACTATATACTAGACTATAGACTAGACTATAGACTAGACTATAGACTAGACTCTAGACTAGACTATAGACTAGACTATAGACTAGACTATAGACTATACTATAGACTAGACTATAGACTATACTATAGACTAGACTATAGACTAGACTATAGACTAGACTATAGACTAGACTATAGACTAGACTATAGACTAGACTATAGACTAGACTATAGACTAGACTATAGACTAGACTATAGACTAGACTATAGACTAGACTATAGACTAGACTATAGACTAGACTATAGACTAGACTATAGACTAGACTATAGGCTAGACTATAAATTTGACAATACACTGGATTATAGACTAGACTATAGATTTTACAAAACACTAGACCTTAGACTTGACTAGACTATGGACTATTCCATAGATTTGACTATAGACTTGACTATAGACTATACTATAGATTATACTATATACTAAACTATAGACTAGACTATAGAGTAGACTATAGACTAGACTATAGACTAAACATAGGCTAGACTATAGAATACACTTTAGACTAAATTACTGATTGGACTATACAGTAGTGTAGACCATGGACTGGGATATGACTACACTATAGAATAGACCATAGACTAGATTATAGACTATAGACCTGATGATATCCTTGATTATACAGAATATACTGTTCAAGTCTATAGCCTATTGTCTCTTTTATAATCTTTTCTATCTGTCTAAGTCGAATATCCTTTTCTTAAGACTTAAAATCAGAACACAGTTTTTAAAATTACTTCATTTGTTTTCTCTTAATTTATTGTTCAAAATCAATTACATATTTATTTAATTTTCCTTAAAAACGTTGACGTGGTCCATTGAAATCTGGTTGTATGGGTCTTTGAGGTGGTAAAGTTTGTGGTCTGCCGGGTCTTAAACTGCTACCGCCATTACTGCCATGAGGTCTCCAGTCAGCACTAACCAATGAAGAGGCCAAAGCTAATAAAGCAAAGGCTACGAGGATAAGATTTTTATAGATTTGCATGATGTATAGGATTTTTACTTTCACACTTTCAAAACTGTAGACGGCTTATGAATGTTGTAGGTTTGAAAATATACATCTGCTTTTATACTCTCGAATAAAAGAAAGATATTCTTATCAGTTTCTAGACTTAAAAATAGGTACAAGACTGATTATATAGATCATTTATGTGAATCACCTTGTCTTTATCATCTTGCGGCTATAGAGTAGATCCCAGAAAAATTTATACAAGGGTTTTTTTTTTAATTTTTATATAAAAAAGTAAATACTGTAGATAAATATAATTTTTTTGATTGACCGATTTTTTAAGAATTTAAGGCAAATGTTAGACCAACGACGCCGAAAAGAGGGTCTGCGGAATCCTAGAGATCTTTTACTCTTAAGAATTCAGGTCAGTTGAGAAATATTAAAGAAGACTATAGGTTTGACAATGCATTAGACTATATACTAGACTACAGACTGGACTATCGACTAGAATATAGACTAGACTGTAGACTAGACTATAGACTAGACTATAGACCATAATATAATATAGACTGGACTATAGACTAAACTTAGGCTAGACTATAGGCTACACTTTAGACTAGATTACTGACTAGACTATAGCCTACACAGTAGTGCAAACTATGGACTGGGCTGTAGACTACACTATAGACTAGACCATAAACTAGATTATAGACTAGACTGGACTAGACTATAGGCCAGATTATAGCCTAGATTATACGCTAAACTATAAACTAGACCTAAGACTTAACTACCCTGTATACACTTTAGACTAGACTATAGACTAAACTATGGAGACTAGACTATAGACTAGACTATAGACTAGACTATA